ATAATATAATAATAATAATAATACACTTTGGTTGCTGTAAGTTTTCCGGACTGTATGGCCATGTTCCAGAAGCATTCTCTCCTGACGTTATGCCTGCATCTGTGGCAGGCATCCTCAGAGGTACATACATTAATATACTTTATTTATATTCCACCCATCTCCCCTAGGGGACTCAGAGCAGATTACAACATTTTACATACATAGGCAACCACAATGAGACACACAAACAAAGGCAAAGGCTTCTCCTTTCATTTCCGGCTTCTGGAGGCAGTGCTCGTGTCTGGCTCTGAGGAGGTGCTTTCTCCATTTTCAAGCCGTGGAGCCTACGTTGTCACCTTTTGGTTGTGTGGCTGGCAAGATTGCTTGAAGTGTCTCTTTGCCTTTTCCCGCAGTACCTATTTATCTACTCACATTTGCATGTTTGCGAATTGCTAGGTTGGCAAGAGCAGGAGCTGACAGATGGAAGCTCACTCCATCCCACAGATTCAAACTACTGACCTTCGGGTCAGCAGGTCAGCCAATCTGCAGGTCAGCAGTTCAGCAGTACAGGGGTTTAACCCATTGCGTAACCGCGGCTCCTTTAAAATTCCTTAAAGGCAGGGGGATGTGAAGGAAATTTAAAAGGTGTTTATTTGTGGTTTCACATATACACACAAGGTCCAGGAATGTTTCTTCCATTTATATGGTGAGGGGATACTATATTGGGATTATAGCACAATATGGGGGTATTTTTGCTTTTGGGATTTCAGTAAGAGAGGTTCTTTTGGTTCTTTCTTTGTGGGCACTTTGGGAAAAATAAAATTTAAGAAAAAGTATGGCAGGCATGGGCAAACTTCAGCTCTCCAGGTGTTTTGGACTTCAACTCCCACAATTCCTAAGTCCAAAACACCTGGAGGGCCAAAGTTTGCCCATGCTTGGGTCAGAGTCTATGTTTTGATAATTATTTCACCAATGTACTTTGTGTTGTAAGTAAGACTGTGCTTTAAGAAAAGGCAGCCGTTCAGTGGTAGAGCACATCCTTTCCATGTCAGAGGTTCCATGTTCAGTGCCAATCACTCTCAACAAGAGGCTATCAAATGATAGTTGATGGAAACCTAGTAGTCTGGGAAGTCTATTCTGGTGGTTAGAGACTGGGAAGATCTCCATCGGCCACTGAACTCTCATCTGTTTTTTTCTTCCAATGGTGATAAAGTAGATCTTGGCCTGTTCAAACGACCGAATGATAGCCATATTAATCTGCAATGCAAATGGGTCCCTGGTCATTCCACTTTAACTGCCATAGCTCCTGCTCTGATGAGCCATACTACATGTCCCAGAATCCCATAGGACATAACCAGAGCAATTAAAGTGGAATAATAGAGCTATAACCACATAGGAGCTCCAGGTAGTGCAATGGCTTAAACCCCTGAGCTGCTGAACTTGCTGTTCGAAAGACCGCGGGTTTGAATCCGGGGAGTGGGGTGAGCTCCTGCTGTTAGCCCCAGCTTCTGCCAACCTAGCAGTTCAAAAACATGCAAATGTGAGTAGATCAATAGGTACTGCTCCGGCAGGAAGGGAACGGCGCTCTATACAGTCATGTTGGCCACATGACCTTGGAGGTATCTAAGGACAACGCGGGTTCTTTGGCTTAGAAATGGAAATGAGCACCAACCCCCAGAGTCGGACACAACAGGACTTAATGTCAAGGAAAACCTTTACCTACCTGAATGGGACCCAGAATCACAAGGCCTTAAAGAACTCGGGAGGGAATAATAATAATAATAATAATAATAATAATAATCTTTATTTATACCCCACTACCATCTCCCCCAACGGGGACTCGGGGTGGCTTACATGAGGCCAGGCCTAATTAACAAATTACAATAAAATAAAATACGAATTACAATAAAATAAACATCACATTAAAATACAAAGCATATAAGCATAATAAACAATACATACAAAACATAGGGGGAAAAGCAGGGATGAAATGATAAACTGCAGAAAAGTAGAATTGATTGAAAACAATCAATTTAGAATTTGTGAGGCTAGGTAAATTGATGTTTTTGATTGGAGGAGGAATATTTATATGCAGACATTTAATCAGTATTGAACCACTTTGCAGTGTTTTGTGTCTTAATAAAAACTTACTTGCTCTTTGCTTGGATTTTCCAGAAACAGAATGTTATTTGTGTAACACAGAGTACACACTCCTATACATCACTGTCTTTCCTTATTTGTGTGCACAGACTTCTTGTTTGTCAAGAACATTCTCGCAATAAATCCAAGTCAAGAACAATGGCTTTTCACCACCCTTGAAATTAACAGGAGGGGAAACTGGTTTGGGCTGGCCACTGGGTTTTTTTTCTGAGTCAGGAGCAACTTAAGCAACTGCAAGTCGCTTCTGTTGTGAGAGAATTGGCCGTCTGCAAGGACGTTGCCCAGGGGACGCCCGGATGTTTTACCATCCTGTGGGAGACTTCTCTCATGAGAAGCTGGGGCTAACAACAAGAACTCACCCCGCTCTCCGGATTCGAACTGTCAACCTTTTGGTCAGCAGTCCTGCCGGCACAAGGGTTTAACCCATTGCGCCACCGTGGGGCTCCAAGTGGCTACTGTGACAAATGCATTTAACCCACAAACTCAATACATACCTGTCCCAATCTGTGATGTACATTAGCAATTCAGATTAACTGAAACATTCAATGAAGAGCTAAGAAACATCTTGGGAGGAACAGTGCTCCTTATACATGGAAACATACTGTTTTTAGACCTGTGATTTCCCAGTTGTGTTCTAGAACACCCAGGAGCCATTCTAAGGTCCTCAGTGGGGAGATAAGTGGTGGCAGATATGTGTCCCTGGAAAGTGCTTTCATCATCATAATTATCATTACTATTACTCATTTAGTGTCTAGATCTAGGGAAGTAATGCCATTCCTTTTTGCTTTGGTTAGGCCACACCTGGAATATTGTGCCCCATTATGGGCACCACAATTCAAGAGAGATATTGACAAGCTGGAATGTGTCCAGAGGAGGGCGACTAAAATGATCAATGGTCTGGAGAACAAGCCCTATGAGGAGTGGCTTAAGGAGCTGGGCATGTTTAGCCTGAAGAAGAGAAGGCTGAGAGGAGACATGATAGCCATGTATAAATATGTGAGAGGAAGGCACAGGGAGGAGGGAGCAAGCTTGTTTTCTGCTTCCTGGAGACTAGGACGCGGAACAATGGCTTCAAACTACAAGAGAGGAGATTCCATCTGAACATGAGGAAGAACTTCCTGACTGTGAGAGCCGTTCAGCAGTGGAACTCTCTGCCCCGGAGTGTGGTGGAGGCTCCTTCTTTGGAAGCTTTTAAACAGGGGCTGAATGGCCATCTGTCAGGGGTGATTTGAATGCAATATTCCTGCTTCTTGGCAGGGGGTTGGACTGGATGGCCCATGAGGTCTCTTCCAACTCTTTGATTCTATGATTCTATGATTCTATGCCATTTTAGAGTTTTTGGGAGCCAGATGGTTTAGCCCTACATTATTGTATATTTTAAATGATTGTATACCGCTATTCAGCAATTAGCGACTACATAGCGGAAAAAATAAGTAAGCGGGCAAAAATC